GCTGCAAAGAATGTAAATACTATGAAATGAAATGAGAAGTAATGTCCAAGCTGGATGAGAGACCTCCATGTGATGCACTGCACAACACACACCTGTCTTCTGCTATTCCTATTAAAAAGATGGGAGGACTGCTGCCTTTTGAAATAATACTAACAAGTAATTTGACACTATAAAATTAAGAAAAAAGTATTAACACAGTTCAACCTCATTTACATTTGAACAGTGAGGTTGCAGCACCCCTTCAAGGATGATGGTTTCGGTACGGGCCTTCAGCGTCCTTAAAGGGTCTTGGTACTCTTTTCCTCCAGTTATCACTGATCAATAAACTCAAATGATTCCACTACACAGTTTCTATTCACGCCCTGTTATACAGTACCACTTATCAAAATAACCCAGTTTTGATACAACAAACAGGTAAAAAGTCTTTGTATTGTTGTGTGGCCGGGGTCTCCATCTTCAGCCATTTTGGATTTACAGATTCTACACCCGTCACTCCACTGAGGCCATGAGGCAGCGAGGGAACGGATCTCACTTCTTAGAGGGAACACCATCTGTGTAGTCCTCCAGCACGCCGGCCAAATGGTTGTTGTGTGTCTTGAAGTTTCTCTTCTTCTGCCCACCTTTCTTCCTCTTATGAATTGGTAACTGCAGGGAGAAGGTGAACATCATCAGCAGAGATTCAAGATGATTGATTCACAAACTTTAAAAATGTTGAAACCTTTTTTCTAGTATAATAAATCAGGGAAAGTATATTTAAATGTTGGGCATTAGAATAATAAAGAGAGCAGATGGGGAAACCAGGGGACACTGACCACTTTCTTTGGTCCTGTTTCTTGCATGGAGGAGATGCCTTGCTTTTTCAGGTATTCGTCAATCTTTTCGTCATCTATGGAATCCACGGGAACGCTCCTCCACAATTTCTGGAATTCTACAATTGAATACATTTTTGAGCAAGAAGCACACCGATTGACCAGCTGGACACCTTATATTTCATGATGTTAACCAAACAAACACAACAAAACCTGGATGAACTGAACAAAAGAAATATGAAAGTAAGCTTGACATATTTTTTTTATAGATCTATAATTATATCTGCAAAGACAAACATATACATGTATGGTGAAATAAACTTGAATTATTATTGCCTGTATATGCTCTTGAATAACCAATTAAAAAACTTCGAAAAAACACCCAACATCCAAATCTTTTAGGTACAGAGATTCATTTCAGAAATACTTCACAGACAGCCTTAGAACACAGACTTCTTCTCACCTTCGTCTACTGTAAACTGGCAGTGCTTGTCATTGTAGAATAGGATCTTCTTTTTATCCGGTCGTGTCACAAAGATGATCTGATCCCCCAAAACCTGCGAACACACGAGAGCTCATGTCTCTGCTGATCCTCATTTTGTATTCTCCATGGTGTTTACTCAAAGGTGTGAGACACAACTGTATGGGGTGCTTAGCATAAATAACATTAATGTGTGTTACCTTGATGGCCTTGGCGGAGTTGGGCAACCCCTCCTCGACGTCGTCCAGCAGCACGCCTCCCAGGCCCAGCTGGTCGTGTTTGTCCAGCAGCCTCAGTAACGCTTTCTTGTCCTTCAGGTTGTACTTGGGCTTGAAGCCGTAAGACCCATCCCGGACGTCAATTTTTGGGTTGTTGACCAGAGCCTGATGGTTTCAGAGAGTGAAGAAGTAGATGTCAGGTCATACATCTCTAAGTCTCTCTTATTATCAGGGAACTACACGTACATACTGTGCATAAAACATGCAGGTTGTGCATCAAACTGGCCACCATGTTGTCATGACCTGAACACCATATGAACCAGGGAGGGGGGAGGGGGAGGGCCCCATCTAGTGGCTGAATCTTATAAGTTACCAATTGCACCTTGAACTTTTCGACAAGCTTGGGGTTGTACAGTATATAGGGATTAAACAATTATGTGATGTAAATATGATGTACGTTTATTTAATACTAGTTTGCAAATCTTAATACTATTCATTTATTTTGTGGTACCATTAAAATCTTTAGAATTGTAATTATGTAATTCCTTGTATATAACACAGAGCTACCACGTGGAAAGATAAACTCTAAAACCACAATTAAATCAGTTATTTTCTTAAGTTCATATTGTTTTTCTACTTTTAACAACAAGAAGTTATTGAACGTTTTTCAGATGTGTCATCAGCATTGTCACTCTCGCTTCTCAATGGCATTCTTCATTTGCAACATACAGTACAGGGGGTTGTGACTCACATCAGCCCACAGATGACTTTGAGGGAATATGGGCATTGTCTTTGTTTTGTTTGTCTACCCTCCCTCCCAAATGTAAAGCGTCTTTGGGTTCAAGAAAAGCGCTACAGAAATAAAATATATAATTATTATTAATATAAGTGTTCTGGAGATTTTAGCTTTAAAGCAGGCGAGTGAAATGTTGTAGGAATAGGACAGGTCTACTCCTGAACTAAAGAGCAGTATAAAACCGAAGTCCAGAAACACACCTCAGTCATAAGCCACTGCTTCTGTTTCATGCTGATGTCCAGAAGTTTGGTCTCATCCAGAATCTCTTCTAGGTTCAGGTGGTGTGTATCACCATTCTGATGTCTTGTCTGAGAGTGAAGGAGAGAGATGCACATGACCAGTCAACAACATTTGAAATGACAGTTCACATTTAAATGTACGTAATTATTAGCTCCCATCTTTGACAGCGTTTCAGCCAAATGTCTACGGTAATCTTGTGCCTTACATCTAACTGTCATGTTATGTTACATGGATTCAAACTGTTTATTCAACAGATGGCACAAAAAGTGAACACATTAAAAGAAAATCTGACAACTTGAGTGTGGGAGATGAGTCAGAGAGGGACTGTGACGGGTCCGGGCAGCCTCTTTCAGAATCACAGCATGATAAACAAGCTGTTAACGTACCAAAAGAAAGACTGGGGACCAAATGTTACACAGCGACACAACTGACTCACTGGGCTGACACACAATAAGAGCTTCTAAAGTGCTTTAATGGAGATGACGACAACCTTCAAATCTAGCAATTAAATAGATGCTGTTGGGAAAGCTTCAATGAGACTGAATTAAATATTTGATTAATATGCATAGGAGAATAAAATATTAACAAAATCACCAGTACATTGATGAAGAATGTTCCTTTCAAAGAGGAAGAGTCTCTGAAGACGTACATACCTTCATATAATTGACTATCTTGGCCAGGCAGCCAAACTTGTACCCAGAGCTCGTCTTGATGTTAAATTTGCCATTACTAGACTCTGAGGAGAAAAGAGAAGGAGCGGTTATGGAAAGATATTTAAATGTCACATTGTTTGTAGTAGAGGCTGGCACCAAAACCACTATATCATAAGCCACAGATTTCTGTGAATATTCTTTTTAAACCATTTTTTTCTTAGAACCAGTAGACAGGCTAAGCAATCTTTTCAATAAGGCCATTCATCTTTATTTAGAGTTTAAATAGCTTGCATTGTTTTACATCTTGTCAACAAATCCCAGGAAAATAATAAAACCAGCCAGTGGCACCTTCAGACTAAAGCCTATTAGTTTCTACTAAAAAGTATAACTCTTTTTTAAAAGGGTACAAACATATGCCCAGGATGTCCTCGTACAGTGCAGCAGAGATTGATAGAGTAGCTCAAAAGAATAAAAGGAGAAGCATGTGAACAAAATGTCTACTACAGAGGACATTGGTCAATGGGCTTGGTCTCAGGAGGATATACCTCTGTAAACTTCAATATATAATAATACATTTCATTACATGTATATAGCACTCTACAGAAGTCCCATTTAACAAACACAGTTGTACAAGAAAAACAGACTATTTAACATTCAGGTGGAGTTATGACACGAGGGGGTGGGGGTTCCAAGGGAAATGGAAGTTTGAAGAGGTGGGTTTTGAGGGCTTGTTAGAAGGATGATTGGGTCGTTGATTGTCTGATGTATAGGGAGAGTGTTCCAGAGCCATGGTGCGGCAGCAGAGAAGGCCCCGTCACCCCAGGTCTGGAGTCCTGGGGGTCTTTAGGGTGCTTGTGTCTCTGGACCTGAGGCAACGGGTGGGGATGTGACAGTGGACGAGGTCAGAGAGATAGGGAGGGGCCAGGTTGTTTAGGGCTTTGAAGGTGGTGAATGGTATTTTGAAGTGGATTCTGTATTTTTCTGGGAGCCAATGGAGGATGTGGAGGACCGGAGTGAGGTGGTATCGGAGGGGGTTGGAGGTGAGCAGGCGGGCGGCAGAGTTCTGGACGTATTGCAGTTTGTTGGTGATTTTGTTTGGTCAACCGTAGAGTATGCTAATAGAGTAGTTGAGTCTGGAAATGATGAGGGCATGGACGAGGGTTTCAGCAGCAGTCAAAGTATTTTTTGAGGAACAATTCATTTGTTAATTATATGTAGCCATTTCATTGTTATTTTTTCCTGTCCGTATATTGTAATCATTGCATTTTTTTGTGTATACAATGTTTAAACTTGAATGTGTTCATGATATAAAGCCAACCCTAGAGCAACAGTATGGCTTGTTGATTACTATGGAAACTATGGAGCTCTTTTGGCACAGAGGAAACAGATATATCAGGTCGTGGCTAAAAAGTAATGATGTGTTAGCTGGATCAGCTCATTGTTAGTTTTGGTATTTTCATTGCATGTGATAACAATAAGTGAATACAGTCTATTAACAGCCTTATCATTTACTGTAACAAACATGTTCTAGTAGTACAGGAGTATATGAGATTAATCTATTAAGAATGTTTTGAAGTCTGGCCAGCTGGTCCCATTCTCTGTGGGAGTCCAACAATGCTCCCCCCCCCCCCCCCCCCGTAGTCTGTCGGAGGTCTGGACTCTCCAATCAGAGCTGTAAACAGACACCGATACATGAATGATGCATGGTGTGGGCGGGAGCTTCTGCTGCTGAGAGCTGCACTGTGGGCAGGACGCTGACATTGTGACAGGCCGTTTAACGAATGGTGCAGAGGCAGGGCTTAAAGAAAAGAGCCAATGAGGGAGAGAGTAGCTCGTTCTGTTCGGCTGAGACGTGAGGAGCAGCAAGGAGTGGCGGAGGGGGGTGACGGAGTGCACGAGCGACGGCTGATAGTGCGTGAGAGTGTGCTGGGGAGGAAACCGGGTCGAGGAGTGAACACAGATGAAGGAGAGAGTACGAGACAGAGCAATAGGTGGAGCACCGAACACACACGAGTGCATCTGTTGACTCACATCTTCTGGAGACTGAGCCAGACACACAGGTGAGTCTGCGTATTTTCAGAATAGCATCATGCCAATAATGTGTTTGACATCAGCACATCATAACACACCAGAGTGATCATTTAAGCTACAGGCTGTGTGCGCATCATATAAGGTTTCTGTTTGCCTGTAACCCAGCAGGGTAAATCATAAATGTTTTATAGGCAGCAATTCTATGAAGCCGATTCCTTCTGCATTCAATTGCAAATCACTATATCTAACAACTAAGAATGGGAAATGTTATTTATAGTATAACAATTTCCAAGCGAAGAGCTTTAGGTGGCACTTGTAATATTTAGGCCAAGACTGGGCAAGCACGTAATGGATTAAATAAACATGGATCTGTCCGTCCACACTTCCCGCTGGAATACCAAACATCCAACACTGTGTTTCTGTGTCTGTTCTCATATGGATGCACTCTGTTTTGTGGAAATGCATGACTCTGTGCAAACTGCAGCTCTCAAGATAAATCAATGAGGGACTGACAGCTGTGAGGAGCCAGCCAGGGGCATTAAGAGTGCATACGTGTATTTGGTGGGTGTGTTTGTTTGAGTGTGTTTAATGAGGCAGCAGAGAGCAATATATGATCCCACAACACCTTTAAAAGCCAGGCCGGGGTGGGGCTCATTTTGGGGGAGAGATAACAGATGCTGTAGGGAGCCAATCTGTCAATGTGTATGTGACTGCTCTGACAAAAGAGGAACGGGGGGAGCAATACCAGCGGAGACAAAATAGTTAAAAGAGGTTGTTGTCATGGCAATGAGTTGAAGTGTTGATATTAGGAGCTGGGTCTGCAATAAGAGGTTGCTAAATATGGAGTTGAGTTGCATTCTGTGCACTCTGTAAACAGATGTGCGTCAGTCTGCTCTCCTAAACCACTCACAGTTAATGTAGTTATAACCTTGTGTGACCCCTTGGTAGTATTTTATCCGGCCTTACATAGTCCAGTTTAAATCATACCATCTGCACTTAGGCCACTTCCTGAATTGAACATTTGTTGAGACTAATGAAGCCACGACAGAGACAGGTTCTATCACATTACGGTTTCAAGTAACAAGAAAACCAGGTTACCATCATACAAGAAGCACTCATCACCTAAACTGCACTGAAATACACATATACAGTATATACTCTAAGATGCCACAAATCTACCCTGCATACATGAATCTGTGTTTTTATACAGTTGTAGTTATACAAATGCAGAGACAATGTAACCTTATGGAATTAGCCTTGTGTGAAGAGAGACACCAATGCCCCTCCAACTCAAATCATTTCTGTGGTTCCCTCAAGTAATCTAGGTGAGCGTCCCTGGTCTCAGTATGCGATATGAAAATATCTGTAGCTGTGTGTGTGCATATGTGTGTTAAGAGCATGTATGTGCTCACACCTGAATGTGTGTGTGGGCAGAGACACTAGTATGCTGTGCCGTTTAAAATGGTAGGCTTTGGCTGAAAATGTCAACGGATAGCTGAAGCGACACAAATGGCCTAACAGTGTGCATACTCCAGAACTACTACTTATTACTAGAGTAAGCAGTTGCTTATTTTTAACATTTATTTTCAGTTGTTAGGGCCAAAGGGTTGCACACCAAGCACAGATGCTGCCTTGCTTTTCTACCAGGCTCAAAGCAGATGGCCTCAACAGGGTTTATGCTCAATTGCCATATAACCGTTTGCTCTAATAACAAATGGTATCATTATTTAAATTACAAGTATTCTCTAGTGAGACTAAGTCCTTGTACATTAGCAGTATAAAAGTGAAAATGAAATTCAGGCACATGAACCGCAGAGTTTTTTTCCTAGACATTCTTCTACCACTTTCATTTTCTAATCATCTTCTCACCATGGAAACAGTGATTTTACGACCGTTGTTCTCTAATTTGGTCTCCCGACTGCTGCCACCTCCTCGCAGCGATACCTAGATTCACACTGTGTCGCACGCATTAACAATCTGTCTTTCTCTACGTTCTTCTTCTTGCTTCAAACCAGATATCATGGCCAACATCACTACCACGATACACCCAGGCTATCTCCCGGGGCAGCCAGAGGCGGCGCTTCTCTCCCGTGTGTCCTTGCAGGTCCAGGAGGTCTACCCTTTCCATGATGGCTGGAATGTGGCTTGCTTTATCATCCTTCTGCTCTTCATCCTCACCGTTGTGTCTCTGGCTGCTTTGGCCGTGCTCTATGAGCTACTGGACTGTGGGTGCTGTGCCAAAGGGAAGACACATCACCAGCTACAGGAGGAGGGGCCGGGGAGCTGCGGCAAGCTCATGACCAGGATTTGCAAGGAGCCAGAATCCTGCACTGAGGTGGTATAAGGGCAGCTATAAGGAGGAAGATGAGGAAGATGGGAATTTGGGCTTCAGCTCTGAGCTGGGCAATAACACAACCATGACCCTGATGCCCTGAGAAAATAACTTCCTAGTGCCCAATAGTGGTTGCATTGCTCACAGTTTAGAGGATGCAGAGAGAGGAGATAAGGTGACAGAACAATGTAAAAAAAGTCAGTTTGTCACCAATTTGGAAACGAATTTCAGTAATCAGGGAATCTTCACACATTAGCGTTCACTACCACTAACACATATTGCAGACACTAAAAGCCGTATTTGACTCCAGAAACACAACCAGAGAAAAAGAGAGCACCCAAGTAGTTTAATAAGTGTGGCTATTTTTGCATAAAAACACTAATAACACGCAATATCAGCTTGTTGAATGGAAATCCTTCTGCCCTGTGAGCACTGCACATACTTATGAGCCGGATGTCAATGAAAATGAGCTTCTAAGAGACATGGTCAAATGTTGTATACAGACAGAATACGCTGTCCAAATGTAAAGACCTCATTATCATTGTTTCCCAACAGGACCTGACGAACAGCAAATAAATGATCAAGCTTAGCTGGCAAATGTTGTTACTTTGAATAAAGCTTGTGTTTCTTTGTTCTTTAGTTAATTGATGGCCAGTGATGTCAACATGTTTTAAAATGTCAACATTATCTCAAGTCAAGGGACACTTGGTTGCTGCACAGTGATGTAATTTATCATGTCATATTACACACAATGCCTAATAAATTGCCACTTCATTCTGTACCAGCCTTTTTTTTCTGTTTAGAGAAATGCTATATAAAAGGGATCAGGAAAGGTAAGATACGTAAAACATTTTAGTGTAGAGCTTAGCCTGGCCTCAAAATAATTAGAAGACGTTTATTACTGTTCCTAAAATGTTGCAACTTTCATTATAAATGTGCTTAATTACAAATCTTTCTGAACATGATCATTTGTGCTAACACTGGGCTGTGCAGACCTAGCTCTGCTAGTTGGAAGTGCTTCACCATCAGGCACAGATCAGGTCAAATGCTGTTAATACTGGCCAGAAAGATGACAATATTAATGTCACAGTAACATACCCATACTAGCGTGGACATACGCATCAAACTAGCACTGTTTCTATTTCTGTATTTACTTGTATGTACAAGTGTGTTTAACACATTGATCAAAATGCAGTTTTTTATTTAATCAACTCTTAAATGCAAACCTCGGGTCTTTAGCAACCTGAGAATATATTCAACCTTGTCTACTGTATTCATTTAATTCCATAAACATTCAACTCACCGGGCTTCTTTAAAACGTTTTTTTTTAAACAATGTTCTGGTTTGTCTAAAAGGATTTCCTATTAGCACTACTTTTACTCCATAAAGGTTATAAGGTCTCTCGATACCTGTGGTATGAAAGAGGCTTACAAATGTTATTCAAGGTAACCTGGATGCAGGTGACGAATTCTTAGGTCGTGTTTACCTGGATTGGCCAAAGGATGGCACTGTTCTGTCACTGTGAACTATGAATACACACTGACCAAATGATGGAAAAGATGTGCTTAGTGTCTATGACACGATGGCACAGCACCTGGGTGTCAGGGTTAGAGCAGAGCAGGATGTTTTAATAATAGAGGGTTCTGACTACATTAGCCCTGACGATAAGGATGTACCTAAAGCTACTGATGATGAGGACATTGCCGTTTATGAATAAGAACATTTGAAAGCAGAACTGAAGCATGAGCATGACAACATGAGCTCAGACAATGTGAGCTTAGCATGGGGCAAATATCATGTCAAAATATCATGGAAGAAGTTGTCCAAAGGGAAGTTAAAACTGACGAGGAAACTTTGTAACTACCTCAACCGCCTAGACACTACTGCTATAAACATGCACATATAAACAGTAGTTTTCCTGAACAAACTTTCAATTTGGGATGCCAGAAGATCTCATAAGAGCATGGCCTTCAGCTGATGAAGTCAGGATGGTGGAAAACGAAGGAGTTACCACAACTTCCAAAAGCTGATGGATGCTCTAAAAGCATTTTGTTTTTCCAGAAACAGAATAGTTGAGGAACTCCTATAAAAACACTGAGGTGCCTCGTGTTTTCATCCACATTCATCCGCAAAATAAGAGGATCTGTGCCCGCAGTTTACTATTACTGACTGTGAATGTTGAAAAAAGAATCAATACAATCTTTTTTATCCTTTACTTACCAGAGCCGTGTTTGGATCCAGAGGAGCCCTCTTTCTCAACTTTGGGCTTCTTCCTTTTATGGGACCCCGAGTCAGAGGCAGCATGTCTCTTCTCTACAGCTGGGGTGGACAGAGCTCTTTTCTTGAACAGCTCCCTCTCCCTCAGTAGAGCTGGATCCATCCTGGCTGAGAGTACAACACACATCAAAAACAGCAATGATGATAATCAGAACAAATATAGTAAGTGATCCATTAGAAATGATGTTATGGCAAACATTTCAAGTAAACCAGATACTTGTTTGCTATGCGAGGAGAACATCGTGAACTGTTTTCATATCTGGACAAAAACAGGTTTTCACCGTACAGGTTTTGGGGCTCTAGGGTTCAAATGTGCTGCTAAGACCCCACTTCCAATCGTAAGTGGATGCTCATGTTCCCAGCAAACTTCAATATGTGTCCCCTCAGATAGGACTTCTATGTTGATTTATCAGTACCTGGCCCTATAGTTTGTGTTATTTAGTAATTTGATTTTGACACCGATATGTTATAATGTGCATATAGTTACAATGTAAACGAACGTGACACATCTGGATTCTGACAAAATAATGTCCTTACAGGATCAACTGCTAATCATTTAACCTAGGATTTGTAGGGACCTTGGATCACGAGCTCCACAGCATTTCCTATGTCGCCCGTTTAGAAATGCAGCCTTTACTCGGACCAGCATGTCGCGTTTTCATAGTTGTTAACGATGTGTCAATTATGCCAAATCATCTCAAATTATAAGGGCTCTTGCATCAAGTTTAAATGGAACATGAGATGAAAAGGCAACGAGGTAATTCCCTCTTAATGCGACGTTAGGTGTACGGCTAAGTTAGCTACAATTTACACCAGGTAACAAATAACTTTAGTCAGTCGGCATTGTTCCAGGTTAGCCTGACGTTGTTGCTATATTGTGATAACGTGAACACAAACGTTATCTACTTCATCAAACGTTGCTGACAAACGTTACTCTAGTTATTTGAAAGATAACATAGGTAAGCAATTGTAAAAACACAGTCTGACTCTTGGTTTGTTAGCTAGCATTAGCTTGAAGATTTGTCCAATGGTATCTTGAGCACAACGTACCTGACTCTTCGTTCCTGCTCTCAGAGAAAGAGACCAGGAGGACTATCTAATTTTGGAGGATATCAAACAGAAGAAAATGCTTCCTTCCACAATGCAATGCTTGACTTATTTTTAAATGACAACACAACTTAACGTTAGCTAACTAACTTCATACACAAAACATCTCTATTTTTCCTCATGCTTCACTTCCGTTTGTTGTTCGATTTGTCGGACATCGACAGCGAATCCTTGAACGACGTCATCACGTATGATAATTCATAACAGTAAAAAAAACCACGACACTGGTTTGTATCATAGACTGTATGGTTTGTATGCACATTTTGTATACACTCTTAAGTAACTCGATACAGTTTGTTTAAGGTTGGATATTCGACAGACATTAACTCAATATCCAGCGGGTTCTTGTCCCTCAGTTTCGCAGACTGGCAGTCAGTCAGAGGATGATTTTGATTTTGATATTTTGATATAATCTATAAATTACTTTTTGAGTGACATAAAAACAATGTTATATTCTATTTCTCTGCGCTAACTTATGCTAAACAAATGCTATCAAATCGAATAATGTGTCTTCTGTAGCACCATTTCCCTTTGATTACTGTGTCATGAATAGATTTAACAAAAAAATATGTTATAAGAAGATCAATTGAATGTCTTCCAATAACTCCCATGTCATCTAACCCATTGACCTAATCCATACCAGACATTGTAAATACCTTGGACAAATTAGACACACCTCTTTTCATTGGATTTGAGTGTTTCTTCATTTTTTTTTATGAATATAAAAATGGTAGATTTTAAAAAGAAAAGTCTCAATTATTTTCAAGAGGCTCAGAATAGTACTTTGTGTACCTCTTGTCTATGCATTTTGAACTATCCTCAAACCCTGTCAAGTTCTAAGTATCTCCAAAGAGTAAATGGCACTATGACGCCACTTGGTGGTTTGTTAATAATACTCCCTATTTTCCATTCAAAACAGGTATTATAGATAAGATAAAGATAAGATATACTTAATTATTTTTGTTGCAGCAGCATGTGAAACAAAGTATTGCACATAATTAGAAATAAAAAAGAGTATAGAAAATAAACAATTATACAATATAAACATCTAAAAATAGAAGATAAAACATAAAAGTTAAGAAGAAACAAATCTGTAAATTATCTGACAAATAAAACACTATTGAAGGGATAATATAGATAAACAATTATACTATTTAGCATCTCTGGCTTACACAGTTGAGTTCAATCGAATGTTCTAATCCTCAAAAACAGGGTTGCCGATTAAAAGTGGAGAATTGAGAGTGTGGAATAATTATCTGCACACAAAGGATTATAAGAGTAAGCATGAGAAGGCTTTCTTTTATGATTCTCAATTTGATAATAAACAGATCATGTATCTTCAAGCTCAACATGAATGCCTTTTTGTTAAGCAAAGGAAGATCAGAGGTAAAAAAACATGTGACTGAAACAAGGTAGCAAAGGAAAAAATTGCTGAAAAAATTTGAAAACCCCTGGCCATCCACTGTGTTCGAAGCAATGCTGTGGCTTTTCTGTTTTTCATGAATTTATGTATGGAGGCAAAGCCCGCAGGGGTTTATATGTGAGACCCTTATATTACTCCTATGTCTATTGGTGTCTTCTGGCATATTTTCCAGGATAAATTCCACTCCCTAAAGAATTGACTATTAATATGTGCTTATAGTGCAACTTTAGCCATAGCTGAGGCTATAATCTATAATGCACATTGATCAATAAATATGATTCAGCTTTATAGTCACTGCATTCTAAGATGTGCCATATGGGAGTCTGGAGCCGGTGAAAGTTTAAAGAAGCCCTAATGTCTGCACTACAAGGATTTTTCTTATGTTGATCCGACTGAGTTCATCCAACTCAAGCTGGACTTTGCTGACTGAAGAGGAAAGGCAACCTCACTACTGGGTAATTAAGTGAGAGAAGACGTGAGATAAAGCCGCACGGGTCACCAAAGCAAATAGGGAGCGAAGCACCCAGGAGCAGCAGAGCGTGGAATATTAGATACAGTAGAGCTGAACCATAGCGTTCAGCCGAAACTGTAAAACGAGAATAGAGAGCATAATGTTCCAAATTTGTTCGCAAGTCCTGCACACGCATAAGCTTTCACGCATAGATTAATTGGCAAGGGACTTAACATAAAAGATGCTACCTCATGTTTTTAAAGCATTATGTAGTTACTTGTTTCAATGTGAAAGCTCCTTACATATTAACATAATAAAGTATATCACAGCTTCCTTTTTCATGTGATTGGCTTTAACATACTGTGTGAGTGTTTTGGTGGATTAAAATGCTATTTGAGTTGAGGTGCACTTTGTTCTATAGTATTTCTGTTTGGAGAGATCAAAGACTGAGAACCAGTTCAATTGACATCAGCACTTGTAGCATTCAGCTAAAATGAACTGTAAGATAGGGAAATTACAAC